GGCGGGGCGGGAGGGCGCGCGCAGGGCGCTCACCGAGCCGCGCCGCTCCAGGGCCTACAACCCCGCCGACTACGACTACCTGCCCGTGTCCGGCGAGGTCAAGGAGCTCTTCGAGTACATTCGGAGGTGAGCGGGGGCAGCGCGCCCCGCACCGCGGCCTGCACGGTCCCCGCGCTGAGCGCGTTCCTCCTGCAGGTACACCCCCCAAGCGATAGAGCTCGAGCACAAGCTGCAGCCCTTCATTCCCGACTTCATCCCCGCGGTCGGAGACATCGATGCGTTTCTAAAGGTGCACACTTGCTCCTGCCCACAGCGGATGGGGCTTTGCTGGCCTTGCCGGGGAGCGCAGCCGTCCCGCCGCACGGCCCTGTGCCCGGAGCTGCGCGAGCTGCAGCACCGGGTGCCCTCCGACGCTCATGGCCATCGATGCTCAGGGCTCCTCTCTGCGCAGGTGCCGCGTCCGGACGGCAGCCCCGACAACCTGGGCCTGCTGGTGCTCGACGAGCCCTCCACGAAGCAGTCGGATCCCACGGTGCTCTCCCTGTGGCTCACGGAGGACTCCAAGCAGCACAACATCGCCGTGAGTGCGGGCGCAAAGCGGACGGTTCCTGCGCGCCACGGGGAGCAGACCTTGCTGGGGTCTTGCTTTGTGCCCGTAGGAACACAGCCTGGCAGCAAAACTGGTAACCTGGCTTTGAAAGCACAGAGAGAAAACACCCCAAACCCCCCAGCCCTTTCCCACCTTTAGCCTCAGGCACATGCAGACCTTGCAGCTGGGGGGTGTTTGTGCAGACCGTGCGTCCGTGTGCTCCCTTTGGCTGCAGTTCACCCTCCTTTGCGTGTCCCATCCTGCCCCTTGTCAGCGTTTGTGTCCCCGGCTGCAGAACGCAGTTTGCAGGGTCTGCAGAAATCCACGGCCCTGTGTTTGCAGGCTGCTTTCTGTCCTTAGCAGCAGGTCAAGGTGAAGAGCATAGAGAACGCAGAGAAGAACCCCAAGGCTATCGACAGCTGGATCGAAAGCATCGCCGAGCTGCATCGCTGCAAGCCGCCCGCCACCGTGCACTACAGCAGGTGAGCGGCCGCCCCCC